GTAACATACCTTCCCTGCAAAGGGGAAAGGCTGAATATTTTAGGTGGCCCTATGCTACATATCGATTGAGAACTGGTAAACTAAGAAAGATGCATTGCACAATCACACTGAAACATACATGATCACTGAAAACTCTATTTTTTCTACAAAGTAACTGTAAAAGATCTGAGCTTACCTTTTCAGAAAAAACACAACAAAAAGTATACTGCATGTATCTGATTCTGAGAGAAAATGTCATCTTTTGTATTGTAAAAGATCAAATAACAAAAAAACATTCAATCTTTTATTTACTTGGTAAACAATTAGGCTAGGTTCACACTATTGTGTTTCCCTTTTCATGCTTTTTTCAATGCATGTTGATGCACATTTTTGCACATGCATTGACATGCATTTTTCCATGTTGGGCAATCAAAAACTATTTAGGCTTGCTACTAATGAAAACGCAACACACATGCATATCACACATTACCCAGTTCCAGACCACTCCCCGCTGCACTAGTTCCTGTATAACAAAAAATCCTTCATGCTTTTTTCAATTGCAATATACGTGATACAGCATTTTCGGGTAGGGGGGCAGGGGCACGCTAGCCGCCTTGGATGTACTGTCATTCACTACAGCACAAGCCGATCAGTGGGTCTGGCCACAGCACAACACAGGGCTCTCTATAGAGAGCAACAACGTGGCTTTTTTTTTCTCCCTGCAAAGCAGGGAGTGAAAACAGTCACAATGCTTATTAAAAGTAGCACACACTAAACACTTAAGCTCACAATTAACCCTTTGATTGCCCCTAGATGTTAACTCTTTCCCAGTCAGCGTCATCATTAAAGGTAACAGGGCATATCATCACTGATCACTGTGGATCAGTGTCATTTAGTCTTTTCCTACAAAGTGTCAGTGTCAGCTTGCCCTTGGCACTCTCATAGTCCTACTATAAGTCACTGATCACCTCCATTACATAATAAACAATTCCAGTATATATACCACAGTTTGTGGACGCTATAACGTTCACGCAAACCAATTATTTTTTTTAACCAAAGACATGTAGCAGAATACATTTTGGCCAAAATGTATGAAACATTTTGACTTAACATTTTTTCATTGGATAGGTTTCATAGCAGAAAGCAAAAATTTTAGAAAAAAAGATTTTTTTTACTCTTTTTTTGTTTTACATAACAAAAAAAACCGTGGTGATCAAGTACCACCAAAAGAAAGCTTGATTTTTGTGAAGAAAAAAAAATTATATAAAATTTAAATTGGTTACAGTGTTGCATGACTGTGCAATTGCCAGTTAAAGTAGTGCAGTGCTAAATAGCAAAAAAAAAAAAAAAAGCCTGATCATAGGAGGGGGTGCAAGGGGGACTGCTGGAACATATCACACCATACATATGGGTGTAACATGCTCCAAAAGGTGAACTTATCCTTTAACCACTGACAGATGGTCAGCATTTATTCATTTTTGTAAAACCTTTATCCCAAAAGGAAGAAAAACTTTGCTGTTAAACAGTGTTAGCTGGAGTTTCAATTTGTAAGTCAAGTTCATCTAAAACTGCATTCATTCCATACTTTGGACATTAAGTCACATGACAAGTCGCAGCCCTTTCTTTTATTTATTAAAAGGTACTTATTAGCACCGTCAATTTACACAGCTCTTTACATATATATTGTACATTCACATTAGTCCCTAATGCAGGCCATAGACAGTTTGTTTATCGGCCGAATTTTCGGCCGAAAAACAAAACATCAGTCGTTCTGTTGCCACGTATGATTACGAACATTTTCCAGCATGACCGAAAAAAGGAATGAGGAGGAACCGCGAAAATCGGACGATGACTAACGGTGCGAATATCGTCCGATTATTCTTTCGGACGATATTCGGTCGATAATCGAACAGTCTATGGCCTGCATTACTCTCCGTCCTCATGCACACTTGACGTTTTTACAGCTGCTGTTTTTGGCTTTTGACGTTTTTGTCTACAGCTAGTAAACCCCCCAACATGTTATCCTATGTGTCCATGCACACAGACTGTAATCAACGTTTTTTGGCAGGGACGTTTTTTGGCTGGAAAACAAAACCAGGACAAGTTTCTAGAGTTTTTTTAGCTGTGAAAATGCTCTAACACTGAAAATGTGGTAAAGCGGCATTTTTGGACATTTTTTTTTACCCAAAAAAGATGGGTTTTTTTGTAAAAAAAAAAAAAAAAAATGGAAAAAAAAACGCAAATGTGAAAAAAGCTGCTAAACGCTAATGCAAAACCACAAAAAAAATGCTGAAAAACTCAAGTTTTTAACATGACTTTACACAGCTGTTACCAGAGTTATCAAAATGTCCAGCGTACATGAGGACTCAAGGGGCGTATAATCTAGGGTCCCTCACTTACATTTACACATACACATACTAGGGACAATATAGAAAGGAGCCAATTCACCTACCAGCATGTCTTTGGAGTGTGGGAGGAAACCCACACAGGCACAGGGAGAACATGTAAACTCCAGGCAGGAGGTGCTGGGGTTGGGATTCGAACCAACGACCTTAGTACTGCCAGGCAGAAGTGCTAATCATTTAGCCACTGTACTGCCACCAATTTAAACCAGTGTGACTGATCAGTTGCAGCAGATTTGAAAAGATCCCTGCACTACTTTGATGGGACTTTGATCCAGAGAGTATAAAGTCGGATCAAAAGTCACACTGAATGGCGCTCCAAAAAGTCACATTGGAAATCGTGTGACTTTGGAGTCGCAAAAATGTAAATAGAGTCTAAACCTGCCAGTCCATCACAGATTGACAATGTTGCTGACCAAAGATGTCTCCTCCATCCAGAGTGGAAAAAGCTTAAGGGCCTGTTAACACCAAAACAAAGTGGGGGGGGGGGGGCGTGTTTCCATACAATTTTCTAAACTGCACAGGAATGTGCTGCCCTTATTAGACATGCGAGGGTTCCATTAATTGTTAATGGCATCCCAAAACACAAAAAACACAGCGTGTTCGGTGTGGAGCAATACTTAAAAGTTGCCCCTACTGTACCTTTTGCACATTTTGCACTCTGCCCGCGATTGTATGGCAATCACTGCAAAATGCATTATTCTTTCTAAATGGCACCCCAAATGTGGTAAGATTTTATGGCAATTTTAACAAGGCAAAAGGCACCTTTGAAAATTGCATGAAGCTTGTCACCCAAAAAGGAGCAGCAGCTTCTTTTTGGCAACACACACAGGACAGCCTATTGACACGAATGGCCCGCTCTATACGCGATACGTGGAATTGCGTGAAAATCAACCATACAAAATTGCAAGCAAGAGCACAAGTTCCCCCTACGTGAAGTGTGAACGGGACTTTTAAGTGTTACTAAACCTAGCACCCTACATTCACTCTATCTGGTCTCCCACAAAACACAGAACATGGAAGTGCAATTATTTTAGTAAATATAAACTGCTAAATACCTTTTCTCATCAGCAGTTAGAGCAGTCTTGTGACTTCTATCAGTGTCCAGCAGAGCACATGTAAAAGCTTGTAGAAGGAGTTTTAATTTTGCTCTAGGACAGTGGTGGGCAACCTTTTTTTTCAACTAAGCCAAATCTCGCCAAAACCACGATTGAAATTTATTTTGAGAGCCACATTTTTAAAACTGAAAATACATCCCCCATATAGTAATTCATCCCCCATATTAAGTCCCCAAGTCCCCCCTGTGTCAATTCACTTACCTTTGCTCCACGCGTTCCTCTCGCCGTGTTCCCGCGCCGTTCCGGTGTAGCATGAAAATCTGTCTCCTATGAGGATCTGTCCCCCTCGACGTATCTGCGCATGTGCCAGTTTCAGGCATTAGCAGCCGATCTCCGGCACATGCGCAGATACGTCGAGGGGGGACAGATCCTCATAGGAGACAGATTTTCATGCTACACCGGTCTTCAGGGCAGACTGTGAGAGGAGCCTAGTGGGAGCCTAGCTCCGCGGGCCAGATTAAAAGGTCCGCCGGGCCGTAGTTTGCCCATTGCTGCCCTATTGCCTGTCACCTGGTGGGCAGTGTGCTCCGGAGCCGCAGCCAAGGTGAAAAAGAGCCGCATGCGGCTCTGGAGCCGCGGGTTGCCGACACCCGCTCTAGGAGGATGCAAAACCCCTGACCTCTGTCTGGACAGTGCTGATCACATGTACTCTAACTAAAATACCTCTCTAGCAATACACACTAAACTGAGCATGTGCAGAGTGTCTCCACACTGACATGTCTTGTCAGGAGATAAGAGGGAGACACTGGAAGAAGGTGAGGATCAGAGAAGTCAGGATCAAACAGCATTTTTACACAGTGCAGAGGATTAACCCCTTAGATTCCACAGAGTATAGCAAGCATGCTTTACTGCATATACAGACTGATTTTACAGTTGTGGGTTTAGTAACACTTTAAGGATTGATAAACTGCATTCGATTTTGAGATTGAATACCGCACACACGAATGTCATCTCACCGGCTTTCATTTTACCGCTAACCAGGAGTAAGTAATGGTAGTAGTCCAGATCCGAAACAAACAAAAAGTAGGAAGGCCCTAACCACAAGTGTTTACAATCGACCAGAAAAAAAGGGAAGGTGAGCAGTGAAGAAGCACAGAAAGGTGTGACACCTTCACCCATGACACATTGCAGGCTAGACAGTACAGAACAGACACAGCTTTCTCATGTCACACAACTGCTGATTGAATGATTGGAGTATAAACATGCACAGGTTCAGTGCCATGGTAGGTGAGGCTGATTCTGTAACCCACCCATACAGTACATAAAAGCCCAGACACTGATCTCACACTATCTATCCCATTCAGCTTCACACTGAAGTCACAATGTAAACACACCGGCTGACGTGTGGGAAGGTTCCAGTCAGTGTGAATGGGGCCAATGCACCAATATTCACAGAAAGGCTTTACCAGTCTGAGAACAAATGAGCGCCTTTCTTCCCTGAACAGGGCAATGTGGCTCCAAGCCAAGTCCCTACGTGCCTATCGGTGTTCCCATAGCTCACCTGAGCAGGCTGCTTAGCGGGTGACTGGCAGACCCGCCTCCAGAAACTCCAGCTCCGCCCCCTGTGGCTCCTCCTGGACCGGCCCCACTTAGCCGCTTTCCTCCTAACAACCGCTCTACCGCTACCCGGTTACCGGTGCGAGCGGCCTCCAGAAGCTCCTGCTCTTTCCCCATCCCGCCGTCACCCCGGCAACCACGCCTCCGCCTCCACTTCCGAGACGAGCGCGCATACGTCAGACGCACATTCCACAACCCCTTAATCCAGTCTTGCATTCCGGCTGCGTATGGCCGTGGACACGCATGCTTACCATCGCTGCCTCCAACATAAATCTCTTCCTGTTACGGTTCCAATAAAGTTTTTCAAATAGGTACAAAAAAAAAAAAACTTTGTGTAGACTGTGGTAGTGCTGTGTGCAGTTTGTAAAGTTTTCTTGTGTAATGGAGCATTATTATGATGCTTTAATGTAAATCCAGCCTCTTTGATCAGTCTTTCCCAATGTATAAACATTGTGCAAGCTGTATGTGTGTGATCATACAGAAGGGGGGATGAACTGAAAAAGGATTGGGAATGTTTAGAAATGTTTGAGTAGAATTATAATTATTATACAGTATTTATAACGCACCAATAGTTCTCTCAGTGCTGTATATTACAAAGGGGGACAGAACATGTGACATAACTAGAGATGAGCGAAGAAATGAAAAATTCGATTCGACTGATTCGGCGAATTCGTGGACAATATTCGATTCGAGTCGAATAAATTCGCTGTGAATTTAACTTAAAAAAGGGTGTTTCTAGGCTTCAGAGAGACTTAATATTAGTGCAGAACACTGTACCTTTAATTTAAATGCCCTTGGAGTCTGCTGGGGAAGAGAAATAATACTGTCACTCAGTATGACATGCAGATGAGTGCCGTCGATCTTAGAATCACCGCACACTTCACTCATTTGGCCAGTCACGGGGCCAAAACCAGTGTTTGGAGCCACAGTGTGGCGGTGGAGGCAGCAGCAATGGGAGGCCATTCAGCAACCTATGACAAAATGGAAACCAGCAGGAGTGTGAGGAGACCTGAAAGTGGCACATGGCAGAGTGGGAGCAATGGGAGGCGGTACAGGGACCCAGGTCACACTGTGGGACCAGCATCAGCGTGAACAGGCGGTACGGGGGCCCATGGCCGATTTGACCTCGTTCATCCCATAGTCCTGCCGACTCACGAATAGCGTGGCCTCCTCAAAGGGCCTGAGCAAGCGCAGGTGTCACGCATGAGCTGACAATGGCTGACATCTAAGTTACACAGGGAGTACCTTTATCCGCTTTTAACATCAGGAAATCTGTGATGGCCTTTCGCTGTTCGTAAAGGCGGTCTAACATATGTAGTGTTGAATTCCACCTTGTTGCAATGTCACAGCATGAGGAGTCGGTACGGGGGCCCATGGCAGATTACGTGCCTGGCAGCAGCAATGGGAGGCCCGTAATCTGCCAGCACCCTATCTCAAAAAATTGAACACACCAGCAGTGTGAGGAGACCTCAAAGTGGCACATGGCAGAGTGGGAGCAATGGGAGGCGGTACAGGGACCCAGGTCACACTGTGGGCTCAGCAGCAGCGTGACCAGGCGGTACGGGGGCCCATGGCCGATTTGGGGCCTGGTGGCAACATAGTCGACATAACGGCTACGTTTACTTCCTCGGGCGGCTTGACGAAAAATTGCAACACCGCAGAGTATGGAAACTTTGCCTCCGCTACTTCCTCACTGGCTGACTGCTACTTCCTCCGTGCACACCGGCACCACTACTGGCCGTGGTGGTAGGCTGCAGTGGAGCTGGTGCACTACTCCGTGGCCGTTTGCCTCCACTGACACTGCTGCGACCCTGCTGCCTCCTGGCAGCAGCAATGGAGGGCCGTACAGGGACCCATGAGAGACTCTGGACTTGGCAGCAGCATGAGGAGAGGCGGTATATAGGGGCCCATGGCAGATTAGGGGGCCTGGCAGCAGCTATAGGAGGCCCGTAAATCTGCCAGCACCCTATGTCAAAAAAATTCAACACACCAGCAGTGTGAGGAGACCTGAAAGTGGCACATGGCAGAGTGTGGCGATGGAGACAGCAGCAATGGGAGGGGCCGTACAGGGACCCATGAAGACTCTGGACCTGGCAGCAGCATGAGGAGGCGGTATATAGGGGCCCATGGCAGATTAGGGGCCTGGCAGCAGCTATAGGGAGGCCCGTAATCTGCCAGCACCCTATGTCAAAAAATTCAAACACACCAGCAGTGTGAGGAGACCTGAAAGTGGCACATGTTTGAGGCATGATTCATGGCGGATTTAGTCAGTTGTGTCAGGAACTGGTGGGTTTGAAATCCAGACTAATCCACGCCTGATTCATTTTCACAAACGTGAGTCTCTCCACACTTTGGGTGGACAGACGTGTCCTCCGCGGAGTTACAATACCTCCCTGCCGCACTAAACACGCGCTCCGATGCCACGCTACTGGCCGGGCATGACAGCCTTTCAAGGGCAAATTCAGCTAGTTGGGGCCAAAGGTCAAGTTTCGTTGCCCAGTAGTCAAGGGGATTGTCTACCTCGGATGGCAGGGTGCTGTCCAAGTAGGCCCAAGCCTGTTGTTTGAGGTCCTGCTCCAGGTCCACCTGCTGCTGCTGCTGCTGCTTGCTGCTGCGGCTGGTTAGTAGTTTCCTCACTGCGCTGGTGAAGAAAGCTACTCATCATCGACTGCAGACTGAGGCAGCCGCTGCTGGTGGAGCTGCCACTGCTCCTACCACCCCACCCCTCCCCTGCTGCCATGGCAGCGGAACGCGAGCGCACAGGGCCCACAGTGTCTGAGGATGGACGTTGGCGCACAAAGGCAGAGACCAACTGACTACATAGGTGGTTTTTTATAGTACGTTATTTTGGCCTCCCTCTCAGCAGGTGTGAAAAAGGCCACCATTTTTGAACGGTAGCGAGGGTCCAACAAGGTGACAGCCAAAAGTCATCCCTCTGTCTGATGGTTATTATTCGGCTGTCGCTACGCAAGCAACCGAGCATGCTATGGGCCATTTGTGCCAAGGAATGCGAGGGACTCCCTGCCTCCATCTCCACAGCATACTGCCACGGTGCGTCTGGGTCCTCTGTCCTCCTCCTCCTCCTCTACCAATGCTCCTGCTCCTCCACTCCTGTCCGCTGAGTGGAAAAACCACCCATTTCACTCATTAATTCCTGAGCACAAATGTCCCCTCTACCTCCTCCTCTTCTTCCTGTCCTCCCCCACAGGGGTCATGTGGCGTTGAGATCTGTGCGCCACGTCTACCGCACCCTGACCAGCCATTGTTAACAGCATTTGTTCCAGGACGTGCAACAGAGGAATGACGTCGTTCATCCCATAGTCCTGCCGACTCACGAATAGCGTGGCCTCCTCAAAGGGGCCTGAGCAAGCGGCAGGTGTCACGCATGAGCTGCCAATGGCTGACAATCGAAGTTACACAGGGGAGTACCTTTATCCGCTTGTAACATCAGGAAATCGGTGATGGCCTATTCGCTGCTCGTAAAGGCGGTCTAACAATGTGTAGGGTGAATTTCCACCTTGATGCAACGTCGCAGAATCAGGCGATTGATGTTGAAATGATTTAACACGTGAGCCATGCATGGGCTGGGAAAAACCTCCTTGACGCAGGCAACACCATGTTCTTTCCGTTGCGTCAAAATGGTTCCGATTTTCGTTTGCGCGGGAGACAGCCATCTGTCGATTTCTCTGTTCATTACACTAGAAGTTCCCCCCTGGTGATACGTTTTCCCCAAGGCAACCCGGTGCAAACAGCGTGACACCGTTTCGCCCTGCACATGTGATAT